TGACATGGCTGCTTCAACACTAACTGCGGTTACTGAAACCACGCCTTCTTTCTTTGCATGAACATTTGGGCGGCATTATGCTAATATTTCCACATAGTGATTAAATGCAGCCTTGGTGAGCACAAGAGACTTCTTTCAAAAACGTTAAAAAGAGAGAAAGATCTCTCTTTCACCAGCATGTGTAAATGACATATTTTTCTATGAATGAAGGAAACTGTAAGAACAAGCAGCAATTTGATTTACTGAAGAATCTGTGTAACAACTTTGGTCACAGATCTGCTTCCTGCTAAAAATGGTGAGGAGTATACGATGCAGTTCCTGTTGGAGGTGGTGGACATCCTCACGAACTATGTGCGCAAGACCTTCGACAGATCCACAAAAGTGCTGGACTTCCATCATCCGCACCAGCTGCTGGAGGGAATGGAGGGCTTCAACTTAGAGCTGTGTGATCAGCCGGAGAGTCTGGAGCAGATCCTGGTGGACTGCAGGGACACGCTCAAATACGGCGTCCGCACGGGTGACCCTCACCTGCTCGTCCCATTTAATGAATGTTTCAAAATGTTATAGTAACACACACTCTTAAAAATAAAGGGGCTTAAAAGATTCTTCACAGCGATGCCAAAGAAGAACCATTCTTTTTATAATCTGAAGAACATTCGTTCGCCACAAGGAAGCTTTTGTGAAACAGAAAGGTTCTTCAGGTGTTAAAGGTTCTTTATGGAACCATTTAGAAACAAAAAGGTTCTTCTATGGCATCGTGAAGCACCTTTATTTTTAAGAGTGCATGCATATACAAATGGTGTTAGTGTCTCATTTTCTTTCCTTCTCTGTAGGTCACCCAAGGTTTTTTAACCAGCTGTCTTCAGGTCTAGACATCATTGGTTTAGCTGGAGAGTGGCTGACCTCTACTGCCAACACTAACATGTGAGTTCCCCCTTCCTTCATTCAGCTTTGTTGTGTTGAGCGAGTAAATCAATTTGATCAAATAAGACAATTCAGCAATTTACTTTAACCTATTTATGAAGTTGTATGGTACTACAAGGCAGAACTTTTATATTCCTCAAAATTTCTACATAAACCCCTAATGTTAAGTATTAAACATCTACTATTAATTAAGTCCAAACTGCATAATGTATAGCCTCAATTCTAGCCTTTACATCTGCTATCATTTATAATATAAAATAATAATAATAATAATAAAAAGATTACAATATTAAAACCTCCCATTGACTTGCTGTTGCACATTCAATTTATAACCACAATGTAAAAAAGTGGTGACCTGCAAGTATTACCTTAAGGAGCTATTTCTGCCTGATTTAACTGGTAACACACAGTTTTGCTGGTATAAATTGATGTACAGTCAAATCAGAATTTATTCAGACACCTTCAACATTTCTCGCATTATCACAGTGTATTCGCTATAGTTTAGAAAATGGTAATAAAATATGACAATAGCTCAGAGTTAAACTGTTTCAGAACAAATTCATCTTGATAATGTCAGATAACTTTGATAGAAAGGTATGTAATGAATTCGGTTGAATAGCTGCCAGCTGTTAAATTTAAGTGCACAATTAATACCAATTTAGGTCAGCCGATTACCAAGCAATGCTTAATGTTGTTCAGGCTGTGGTGTAAAAAGGTCACACTAGCAATTAAAGAAAAAACACTTAAGCAAAACATGGTCAGGTCAAAGTGTCTGAATAATTTTTGGCTCCAAATTTGTATTAATTTTACTGGTAGTCCACTGTATGAAGAATCTTTGGGTATAATATGTTGCTATCCTCACTTACATAAATGAACTATAGTGTCCTGCACCCACTAGTAAAAAAAAAATTATATCTGGTGTCTGAATAATTTTTGGTTTGACTGTATGTAGGTTGGGTCAGTGATGTAAAATAATACAGTTGACTTGAATAACACCACTTATTTTATTAATTTTTTCATTGCAACAGCAATAACATCATTTTTGCATAGTTAGTCTATTTGACCATGAAGTCATTTTTACATTTCGAAGACTCATGCACAGATGTCATAAAACATAACTGTGCTGATGCAGCGTTTCATTTACACGGAATCAGCTACGCATACAATTTCAAAAGAAACAAAAACATAAAATATAAATGCAAACGAAGAATAAAACATATTAGCACTATTAAATTCGGGGAAAGCAAATGAAGTGTAATGCTGCTCTGTTAACTGAAGACTGGGATAAAATGACTGGCAGCTCAGAATAACACGCATTAGCTCTCATCAGAAAAGCTCCAGTGATATGTGACGGACACGGCCAGCTCATTGGTCAAGACTAATTTAGAGCTAAACACGAGACACAGAGCCAGCTGAGACTCTGACACGATCCACACCTCCACCCCCAGCTCTTCTTCCATCCATTCATCTGTCCATCTCCCCATCCATCCATTCATCTGTTCATCCTAAAGGCAGACTGCATCTAGTGTTCAAAAGTGGCAAAAACAAAAGTGGTTTTATAAGATCAAAATATACCCTTGTACGGCATTTAGTATGTTGCTATGCAGTTGCTAGGTTGTTGTGGTTGCTTACAGGCCCTCTCAAAAAAGTCTCTAAGATGTTCTGATCTCTAGATATTCCATTTATGTCCAAGTGAGTTCTTCATTTTATTGTATGGCAGGTGAAAATGGATTAGTTTGCTTATAATATTAATATCACACCTCTTAACAAAAGTTGAGGTGTCATACATGCATGTAGCACAAATGATGAGGGAGGGGCTACACACATTTTTTAAATTATGTTTAATGTTTGTTCAGATTCTGAATCATGAGAAACCGTAATAGTGATGCTTGTCTTAGTAAACACTGCTATGCTACTATTGTCAGAACTGTATATTTTTTTTAATGTATTTTATTGTTTTTTTTTTTAAGAAATTGTTTATTTGAATCTTTGGACAAATTACTAAAAAAATCTGCATATGTGTTTGTTGTTGAGGATTATGTTTGACACATTTGGCATTTATGGTTAGTGTGATATTGGAGAATATGGAGCTCATATTTGAGGAGGAAAAGCTGAACAAAACATATGCAATTTGCTGCAGTTGCTGATATTTATAAGGCCAAAAAGTAAACGGACAGCTTGTAATATAAATCAATGAGATCTTTATAACAGTATAACAGATTACTTGCACAAAATGCATATAAATATCAGTTGTCACTCTATATCTCCCAATAATATGTCTTAGTAAGATGATATTTAAATGCTTAGTTTTATGATCAAAGCTCAGTATTTTTGAAGCACACGGTACAATGCAGTACAATGATGATTGAGAGTACTTAAACTGATATTTTTGATACAATTTATAACCACAATGTAAAAAAGTGGTGACCTGCAAGTATTACCTTAAGGAGCTATTTCTGCCTGATTTAACTGGTAACACACAGTTTTGCTGGTATAAATTGATGTACAGTCAAATCAGAATTTATTCAGACACCTTCAACATTTCTCGCATTATCACAGTGTATTCGCTATAGTTTAGAAAATGGTAATAAAATATGACAATAGCTCAGAGTTAAACTGTTTCAGAACAAATTCATCTTGATAATGTCAGATAACTTTGATAGAAAGGTATGTAATGAATTCGGTTGAATAGCTGCCAGCTGTTAAATTTAAGTGCACAATTAATACCAATTTAGGTCAGCCGATTACCAAGCAATGCTTAATGTTGTTCAGGCTGTGGTGTAAAAAGGTCACACTAGCAATTAAAGAAAAAACACTTAAGCAAAACATGGTCAGGTCAAAGTGTCTGAATAATTTTTGGCTCCAAATTTGTATTAATTTTACTGGTAGTCCACTGTATGAAGAATCTTTGGGTATAATATGTTGCTATCCTCACTTACATAAATGAACTATAGTGTCCTGCACCCACTAGTAAAAAAAAAATTATATCTGGTGTCTGAATAATTTTTGGTTTGACTGTATGTAGGTTGGGTCAGTGATGTAAAATAATACAGTTGACTTGAATAACACCACTTATTTTATTAATTTTTTCATTGCAACAGCAATAACATCATTTTTGCATAGTTAGTCTATTTGACCATGAAGTCATTTTTACATTTCGAAGACTCATGCACAGATGTCATAAAACATAACTGTGCTGATGCAGCGTTTCATTTACACGGAATCAGCTACGCATACAATTTCAAAAGAAACAAAAACATAAAATATAAATGCAAACGAAGAATAAAACATATTAGCACTATTAAATTCGGGGAAAGCAAATGAAGTGTAATGCTGCTCTGTTAACTGAAGACTGGGATAAAATGACTGGCAGCTCAGAATAACACGCATTAGCTCTCATCAGAAAAGCTCCAGTGATATGTGACGGACACGGCCAGCTCATTGGTCAAGACTAATTTAGAGCTAAACACGAGACACAGAGCCAGCTGAGACTCTGACACGATCCACACCTCCACCCCCAGCTCTTCTTCCATCCATTCATCTGTCCATCTCCCCATCCATCCATTCATCTGTTCATCCTAAAGGCAGACTGCATCTAGTGTTCAAAAGTGGCAAAAACAAAAGTGGTTTTATAAGATCAAAATATACCCTTGTACGGCATTTAGTATGTTGCTATGCAGTTGCTAGGTTGTTGTGGTTGCTTACAGGCCCTCTCAAAAAAGTCTCTAAGATGTTCTGATCTCTAGATATTCCATTTATGTCCAAGTGAGTTCTTCATTTTATTGTATGGCAGGTGAAAATGGATTAGTTTGCTTATAATATTAATATCACACCTCTTAACAAAAGTTGAGGTGTCATACATGCATGTAGCACAAATGATGAGGGAGGGGCTACACACATTTTTTAAATTATGTTTAATGTTTGTTCAGATTCTGAATCATGAGAAACCGTAATAGTGATGCTTGTCTTAGTAAACACTGCTATGCTACTATTGTCAGAACTGTATATTTTTTTTAATGTATTTTATTGTTTTTTTTTTTAAGAAATTGTTTATTTGAATCTTTGGACAAATTACTAAAAAAATCTGCATATGTGTTTGTTGTTGAGGATTATGTTTGACACATTTGGCATTTATGGTTTAGTGTGATATTGGAGAATATGGAGCTCATATTTGAGGAGGAAAAGCTGAACAGAACATATGCAATTTGCTGCAGTTGCTGATATTTATAAGGCCAAAAAGTAAACGGACAGCTTGTAATATAAATCAATGAGATCTTTATAACAGTATAACAGATTACTTGCACAAAATGCATATAAATATCAGTTGTCACTCTATATCTCCCAATAATATGTCTTAGTAAGATGATATTTAAATGCTTAGTTTTATGATCAAAGCTCAGTATTTTTGAAGCACACGGTACAATGCAGTACAATGATGATTGAGAGTACTTAAACTGATATTTTTGATACTCACATTTCAACATGCTTTTTCTAAAAATGATGTCTGGATAATCAAGCAAACCTAAGTTGATTCAGTCCAGTAAATGTTCTTGTTGTTCTTGTTTTTTGTTTGTTTGTTTGTTTGTTTTTTACATTATTACAATTATACAAAAATAAATTTTACTTGCTAAAAGGGATGTTTTCCAGCAAAGTTTTGATCACGTGTGTGTCATGTATGATACAATAGTCTTTGTTAAAGGGATAGTTCACCCAAAAATGAAAATGTGATGTTTATCTGCTTACCCCCAGGGCATCCTAGATGTAGGTGACTTTGTTTCTTCAGTAGAACACAAACGGAGATTTTTAACTCAAACCGTTGCAGTCTGTCAGTCATATAATGCAAGTGGATGGGAATCACGGCTTTGAGAGTCAAAAAAACATACACAGACAAAACCAAATTAAACCCTGCGGCCCGTGACGATACATTGATGTGTAAAGACACGAAACGATCGGTCTGTGCAAGAAACTGAACAGTATTTATATTGTTTTTTTTACCTCTGATGCACTGCAATGTCCGAACTGTCCTGAGCACATCCCCGAGAGCCGGCGCGTGAGGCGTCTTCTTTTTCTTCTTGCTTTACGGCGGATCGCAGACTTACAAGTGCATTACTGCCACCTATCTCTCAAATGGACCATTGACACTCCCAATTAAGATTGTAGATAGAGGGTCAATGGTCCATTTGAGAGATAGGTGGCGGTCGAGGACGTGTCAGGCGCCGGCTCTCGAGGACGGCTCTTCAGTTTCTTGCACAGACCGATCACTTCGTGTCTTTTCACATCAGTGTGTCGTCACGAGCCGCATTGTTTAATTTGGTTTTGTCTGTGTATGTTTTTTTGACTCTCAAAGCCGTGATTCCCATCCACTTGCATTATATGACTGACAGACTGCAACGGTTTGAGTTAAAAATCTTCATTTGTGTTCTACTGAAGAAAAGTCACCTACATCTTGGATAAGCAGGTAAGCAGATAAACATCACATTTTCATTTTTGGGTGAACTATCCCTTTAAGCTTAAAGTTATAAGGCATGCTAAAACTAACCGTGCCAGTCCTTTAAAAACTATATGGCTGCATGGTCTGGTCTAAAGACTCTGATGTCAGATTATAAAACTTAAAGGAAGTTGAAAGTATTTTTACGGGTCCGTTGGGATCTTCTTCATTTATATAAGGACAACAGCAGTGAGTCCCCTGGTCCTGTTTGACCTCTGAGGGTCAGAGATTTTATGGTGTCTTTCACAGTCCATGCCCAAATTCTCCTTTGATCAATAAAAGATTTACTCCACGTCCTCAGATTTACGTCCCTCGTTCCCAAATGACTGCATCTTTGGATTTTAGGGGCTGTATTGTGTGACACTGCTGCTTAATGCTTATAATGGCCAGCAGTCAGTTTTATGACAGAACTGATGGTGTTATAAAACAGCAAATTAACACTCTTAGAAAATGACATCAAATCTGATCAAGAACTCTTGTAAAATGTCTTGCTCTCCTCATGAAGTACTTTAGAGTGATCATATACAGACGTTTGTATGTAAGGAAGAATAAGGAATAGTCTGACTTTTTGTTTCAGTAAATATTCTAAAAATATGTTGAAAACTTTCATCATTATTGTCCAGAAAAAAAACTTTCGTTTATTTGAGCAAAACATAAAGTAAAAAAATAATTATGAAGCGAAATACAACAACAACAAAAAACACGACAGAAATCAAGAAAGGTGTTCAAACTGGTGCAATTTATTTTATACAATTATTCTTATTTTTTAAATAAATAACATTCAAATCTGCTTTTAAAACTACCTTCTTGTCTGAATGTACTGTATGACTGTGTGGTTTTATTGTATTTACCCAAAAGCTATTACAAAAGTGTGATCTAGGAAAATATAGAGCTTACACTCAAGGAGAAAAAAACTAAAATATGCAATTTGGTGCAGTTGCTGATATTTATATGGCCATTTATGTAAACAAGAAGGTGTGTAGTAGATTGTGTACAACAGCAAACTTTTGATTATGTTGATAAAGGCCTTAGAAATATGTGCATCAGATATTTATAGGGCTACTTACAGACCTATTTGATGTGGTATAATGTGTGTTCTTGCAGGAGGAGCAATCTCAAACATGTACAGCTACTACACAATATTAAGACTAAAAGCCTGATAAATGAAAAAAATAGTCAGAAAAATATATTTTTACTGAAACAGTATATTGAACTAAACTAAACAAAAAAATTAAATAAAGAAATATTTCAAAAAGTTTGCATGTATGTTTTTTGTTGAGCATTATACTAGATACATCAGGCTTTTGTGTCCTACAGTGTGATCTAGGAAAATATAGAGCTTACACTCAAGGAGAAAAAAACTAAAATATGCAATTTGGTGCAGTTGCTGATATTTATATGGCCATTTATGTAAACAAGGTGTGTAGTAGATTGTGTACAACAGCAAACTTTTGATTATGTTGATAAAGGCCTTAGAAATATGTGCATCAGATATTTATAGGGCTACTTACAGACCTATTTGATGTGGTATAATGTGTGTTCTTGCAGGAGGAGCAATCTCAAACATGTACAGTGTGATGGTGGCACGGTATAAACACTACCCTGAGGTTAAAATCAAAGGCATGGCAGCGGCTCCCAGACTGGTGCTGTTCACCTCTGAACGTGTAGGTCATTTACTCGCTCTCTGTCTTCGCTCTCCTTCGGTACGCTGTTAGATGCTGAGCTGAAAGTATTCCCAATATTTTTAAGTTATTGCTCAGTGTGCATTGTTACCATGAACTGTTTCTGAAGACAACCCATAGAATGGAAATGGGACAAAATATGAAAATTATGTCATTATTTACTCATCCGTATTATCAAACTCATAAGAAAATGTTTTGCAGAATATCTTGGTGTTTCTTTCTCATGCAATGCATGCAGTGAATGCAGTCTTCTGAAACCATATGCTAGCTTCAAAGGCATGGCAGCGGCTCCCAGACTGGTGCTGTTCACCTCTGAACGTGTAGGTCATTTACTCGCTCTCTGTCTTCGCTCTCCTTCGGTACGCTGTTAGATGCTGAGCTGAAAGTATTCCCAATATTTTTAAGTTATTACTCAGTGTGCATTGTTACCATGAACTGTTTCTGAAGACAACCCATAGAATGGAAATGGGACAAAATATGAAAATTATGTCATTATTTACTCATCCGTATTATCAAACTCATAAGAAAATGTTTAGCAGAATATCTTGGTGTTTCTTTCTCATGCAATGCATGCAGTGAATGCAGTCTTCTGAAACCATATGCTAGCTTTTTGTGAGACCAATTCACTCTAAACCTTTTCCTTTTGCTGCATCTCTCACGTCTCATTTGCATGCATTAAAACGATCTTGATTCCATGACAGATCTTGATGCACCATATTTGAACGTATGCAAATGCAAATGAGATGTGAGAGTTATGCTGGCTGGTGCTTCTTTATGGGTCTTGACTGTCCGTTTTGAAGCTTTGAATGTAATTATAAATGTACAAACCCCACCACTTACCAGTCCGTTGCCATGTTGTTCCCAGAGTCACTACTCTATAAAGAAGGCCAGTGCAGTGCTGGGTTTCGGCACAGAGAATCTGATCTTGCTGAAAACAGATGAGAGGTAAGTGGAGGCTCTCTGTGTCTGTGCTGTGTGTTTGTGGACTGTCTCATCAATGAAAGTCTAACATTTGCGTGTTTTGTTAGAGGTAGAGTGATTCCGGCTGATCTGGAGGCCAAAGTCATTGATGCCAAGCAGAAGGTGAGTCTCCAGTGCACAAGAATAAACTCTTCTACTCTACCCAAAAGACTTCAACATTATATGAGACTATTGTGTTGCATCTTTGTATAAAGTTAGAATCCAGTCTTGAAATTTCTGCCACAACCATGCAAACCTTCAAACACAGTCATTTAGACAATAATGCGTAATCACGTTCGTCTGTTTTCGTCTATTATTCTTTATAAATTTTACAGCTCCGATAACACACAGTTTTGTAAGGAAGAATTACTAGTGCTTGAGCAAAATACAAAATGCACATTCCTGCCTTCACACCTTTAATTTCTTGCACTGCAGACTTTGATTGTAAGCACATTGGACTTCTAAAGCTAAAGCTGTATTGAAACGGCAACATTTCTTTAATATCACTATTTGATCAAACATGAATGAATGAAATCAGAACATAGTATCTTAGTATTGGCCCATTAAGATTTAAAGGGGTCATATGATGCTGCTAAAAATAACATTATTTTGTGTATTTGGTGTTATGAAATATGTTTATGCGGTTTAAGGATCAAAAAACACATTATTTTCCACATACTGTACATTATTGTTTCTCCTCTATGCCCCGCCTTTCTGAAACACGTCGATTTTTACAAAGCTCATCGGTCTGAAAAGCGAGGTGTGCTGTGATTGGCCAGCTATCCAGTGCGTTGTGATTGGCTGAATACCTCAAGCGTGTGACGGAAATGTTACGCCCCTTAACATACTGTGATGCCCTGTCCAGCCGGAGCGTAACATAAAACCATGCTTGCATTTGTGATCGGAGAAATGACAAACAACAAGTGCTACTCTACACTGCCCAAAAAACTCACGTTTGAATCATCAGTGGCAAATTCTTTAAATATAAAAAACGTACTTACAGTCTGTGAGTCAGAACAGCCAGCATTGTAGTCTACTCTTCCAGGATCAGGAAACAGTCCTCCATAAAATGCACTGCACACATCTGAATATTTGGGTTGAACTGTTCTGGAACAGTGTTGTAAATACAACTTAACCACTGATTTCTAGTCGTGTCCTCTTTTGGAAGACCAAACAAAGTAGTTTTGCTTTTACAATGAAAAAGCGTCACACACTTGAGTGAGCGGAGGCCAGCTTGAGTGAGCAGAGGCGGGCGGGCTTGAGAATGGCGCGGCCGGCAGATTCGACGAAGGAGCGTCCGGCGGGCTTGCGGCAACCATATGTGACGACCCCGGGCTGGACTCCGCTTCGTCCACGGTGAAAGCCGATCCGGCGATCCACAGCGCGAAGTTGATGTATTTCCTCAACGACCAGCACGGATCAGCTCTAGGCATGACGAAGTGGATATCGTCCTCTTTTGGAAGACCAAACAAAGTAGTTTCGCTTTCACAACGAACACACAGCGCCTTCACGGCAACAACAATACTACAGCGAGAATAAAAGTTATGCCTTCTTTCTTTGCGTGAACATTTGGGCGGCGTTATGCAAATCTTCCCACATCGTGACATAGATATGTGGGGGCGTGTTAGAACGAGCCGTTTTAGGTAGGTGTGGCTAACTTTTAACTTTTATAAAGGATATCTCTTTGAAAGATTTTGTTTTGACCGACTCTTGTGTATGTTATCTGGTGAAATGGTTTTGTTGTGTCTCTGCTGTCCAGGGGTTTGTGCCAGTGTTTGTGAATGCTACAGCTGGATCAACAGTTTATGGAGCCTTTGATCCAATCAATGAGATCGCTGACATCTGTGAGAAATACAACATTTGGCTTCATGTGGATGTACGTTTGTGTTTATTTCATTATTCACTTTAACAGACTGATTATGGTGAAACACTCTGAATAAGGTGCATTTAAACTGATGGTGTGAATGTGTGTTTTAAGGGTGCATGGGGTGGAGGTTTGCTGCTGTCTAGAAAACACAGACACAAGCTGAATGGCGTAGAGAGGTATGGTAAATAAATTACTCTCCAAGGGCAAAGGGTTGGTCTGAAAAGAGGAGAGACATATTATAAAACTTATCAGCTTGCTTCATGAGTAGTATTTGGGTGGCATAACATTCACATAGTAATCGTAATTGGATAAGAAGCAGCTACGTGTGCAGTAATGTTTAACACTTTGTTGTTCAACCTTGTGAACAAGAAGTGAGCTTAATTGTATTGAATGCCCACTTGTAGTGTACTTCAACTCTTAAAATTATATTTTTAAAAATGTACATGCAGATAATATTAATGAAATAAACAGAAGTGTACTTAAGAGTGTACACTTACATGGATGTTTCTTAACCCACTTAAGACTAGTTTAAAGACTGCACTTTTGAAATAATGTCAAATTAAATATGTTATGTTTATGTTTAAATTAATTGCCGTTAACATGCATTTGTTTTTTTTCAAAAACATTTAGTTCATGCAGTGCATGTAGTTATCTTCACACTGCTGACACACAACATAACACTAAAATACAATGATTTTCCAAAAGTGGGGGAAACTTCAAATTTCAAATGTTATAATATTTGCTATGCACCTGCTAAGCACATACTCTACTATGTAATTTTCTCTATTACTAACTACACATGTGTGAACAGCGTGTTCTGATCAGTGTTGTTTCTGCAGAGCAAACTCTGTCACATGGAACCCACACAAGATGATGGGCGTTCCACTACAGTGCTCCGCCATTCTGGTCCGAGAGAAGGTAAGAGAGAAAAGGAGAAATGGGGGTTTCAAAATAAATCAAAGAATCAAAAGAGAGAGAGCTGCTTGCTGACATGTTATTATGATCATCTCCATTCATTGTTCCTGCTCTCTCACTGTGTGTGTGTGTGTGTGTGTGTTTTCAGGGTCTTCTTCAGGGCTGTAACTCCATGTGTGCAGGATATCTCTTTCAGCCGGATAAGCAGTATGATGTCACCTATGACACAGGGGACAAGGCCATACAGTGTGGCCGCCATGTAGACATCTTCAAATTCTGGCTCATGTGGAAGTCAAAGGTGTGTGTGCACATCCATGAGATCAGAACCTCAGTGCTTGATAATGTGTTACTCATGAATTCATCAAATGCAAGATGCAGAAATCATGGTTTTAATGCAGTGATGAAAAACAAATCAGATGGATGGATGGATGGATGAACAGTTGGATGGATGGATAGATGGATGAATGCATCGGGTAGATGGATGCATGAACGTTTAGATGGATGAATGAATGAATGAAAGGAAAGAAGGAAGGAAGGATGGATGGATGGATGGATGATGGACCAATCAGTCGATCGATAAATTAATGGTTGGATGGATGGATGGATAGACGAAAAGTTGGATGGTTGATGGATTAATAGATGGATGGACGGAAGATTAGATGGATGGTTGAATATTTGAATAGATTAAGGATAAATGGGTGGAAGATCAACAGTTTTATGTATGAAGTTGTGGATGGATGGATGGACAGATGGACGAAAAGTTGAATGATTGATGACTGGTTGAACAGATGGATGGATGAACGATTAGATGGATGATGTATGGTTGAATAGTTGAATGGATTATGGATAAACGGGTGGAAGATGAATGGTTGTATGTATGAAGGGGTGGATAGATGGCTGGATGAACTGTTGGAATTATTGATGGATGGGTGATGGATGCATTGTGTGGATGGATGCATGAATGGAAGGAAGAATGGATGGATGGATGGACGAATAGATGGATGAAATGTTGGATGGATGATGAATTAATTGATGACTGGTTGAATAGATAGATGGAAGAACAATTAGATGGATGATGGATGGTTAAATAGTTGAATAAATGGGTGGAAGATGAATGGTTGTATGTATGAAGGGGTGGATGGATGGATGAATTAACAGTTGGAATTAATAATGGATTGATGGATAAATTAATGGTTGATGAATGGATGGATGGATGGATTAATGAATGGAAGGAAGGATGGATGGATGGAGGGATGGATGGCAGGATGGATGGACGGATGGATAATGAATTAATTGATGACTGGTTGAATAGATGGATTGGTGAACGATTAGATGGATGATGGATGGTTGAATAGATGAATGCACGATGGACAAATGGGTGGATGATGGATGACTGGTTGGATAGATAATGGATGAATGGAGGGAAGAATGGGTGGGTGGATGAATGGATAGATGGCGAGATGGATGGGTGGATGAACAGTTGGATGGATGTATTTTTACTGTATTGTAACATAGAATCAATGTTATCCCAGCACAAAGATGTTTGTGTAGAATATCAGTTGTGATGTTATGGATCTGTCCTCTTTAACAGGGCACTATAGGCTTTGAGAAGCACATTGACAGATGTCTGGAGCTGTCTGAGTATCTCTACCACAAGATAAAGAACCGAGAAGGATATGAGATGGTGTTTCAAGGGGAGGTGAGTGAAAACAACCACAATAGAGTTTATCACTGTCCTTCACATACTAGTACTCTTCAGAGTCAAGGTTTCTTTCATAACTTTTTAATGATGCCCTTCTGTCCGTTTCTTAGCCCCAACACACTAATGTGTGTTTCTGGTACATTCCTCCAAGCCTGCGGCTTCTGCCAGATGGAGAGGAGAAAAGACAACGACTTCATAAGGTAAGTAAATACTCACACTCACTCCTTCTCAGTCTACATAAGTTGCTCGTATGTAACTGATCAAATACACATGTGTATATGCCACATATTTTATGCCACTCATTTTATTTAGCCAGTTACCTTAAGCTTCTGTCCTGTGAATTATATCTAGGTTGCCCCCAAGATCAAGGCAATGATGATGGAGTGTGGAACAACAATGGTGGGCTACCAGCCTCAAGGCGATAAGGTCAACTTCTTCAGAATGGTTGTCTCTAATCCGGCTGTAACCAGGTCTGACATTGACTTCCTGATCGATGAGATAGAAAGACTGGGACAGGATTTATAGAGTGCACAGGGCTGGAAATGCAGTAGATGTTAGTAAATTCTGTAGAAATATAGGAAATGGAGAAGACGTTTTGAAGTATTGTATCAGCTGGACATTCTAGAGTATTAGTCCAATGAGGTGCACTAGAATAATGAAACTCTCGGATTTCTAGAATGTTCCACTAGGAAACTGGCCATTCCAGAATGCAGAGGTGGTGAGCTCTTAAAGCTATAATTTCATAATGAAGGATCAGATTTCCGCCTATGACATTATATGTCCTCTCTTCTTCCCTTCCCCCTGTTCTCTTGTCTCCTGTCTATTGTGTTCTTTCTATTGTAACACTTTACAATAAGGTTCCCTTTCTGGTTAACTACATTTGTTAACATGAACTGACATTGCCAAATACTTCATGCATATTTTAATCTTACTTTGTTATTTTTAATATTTACTTATACATCTAAAATTATTTAATGGACCTGAGCTAACTTGAATTAGCAATGAACAGTTGTATTTTTATGAACAAAGGTTAACAAAGATTAATAAATACTGTTATATTATAACAGTATATTATATGTGTTATATTAATAAATACTACAAATATTTTGCTCATTAATTAATGTCAAATACTTGATCCTGATTGGCTGAAGAATGTTTTAGAGTGCAGCTAAAGTAGTTCCAAGCAGGACTTGATGGTATTTCATGTCCATATCACGTTGTCAAATGATTTCAGTTGTTTCAAAAGTTCTTACAGCCTACAACAGCAAAAGAACAAAATCACACAACAACACTGACCAATCAGATACATATATTAAACAGTAAGATAAAAATGATAAACTATTTACATGTTTCTCCCACGCTGAAAACTGAAAAGCTGCATGACATTTCTCAGTAGTGAGATGGTAGCGTTGCTGTTCTTGAAGCCATTAAACTTACAGTCCTTACATAACCACCTTGGGTGTGCATTATTTTCTAATACTTCAACTGTCCGTTTTCAATTATTCAGTATCCAATGCATTAACTCAAGTGATGAAGCCTTGTTGTAGAGTGTTACCCTTTATTTTAACAGGAAATATTATACTATACAGCACAACTGTACATTTAAGAAATATTCATGGTTCAGTTCAAGTTAAGCTCTATGACCGTGTCTATGATAAAAAACAATTTGTCCCTTTCTACAAAGAAACACAAATTGTACTTACAGCATTGCTCTCTCCGTGGAAATTTAACAGGCAAGGCACTGGAGTAGCAATGCCTCACTGTATTAAAGTCACAGTCACAATTACGATAAAGAAACCTGCAGTTCAAATACCATAAGATAGCACTTTATAAAAAAAATAAGAGACTGACTTTTTTTTTTTTTGCTCCATAGACATCCACTGTAAATGTATTAATTTAAACACAATCTTTTTTTTTACATTTTTGTACAGACTAAGGGACATAGAGCATAACTTTTCAACTGTGAACATTTCCTTTAAAATCCAGAACTGGTCTGAATTCTCAATAAAAAAAGTTTAAGAATATACTGTAATATACCACCATCTATAAGAGCCATCTGAACCGTCCGTGTGATTGCACAAATGCATAACTTCTTAGCTGTTATGTCATGAAGATTAACTGAAGTGTGTACCATTGTACCAAGTACTGTATTGACACGCTGTGTTTTTAGAATTTATGTGTAAATTGTGATTGTTTGTGACAAACATATATCACATAGTTTTACAGTAAGAAATGCTTGAATAGTGGTAAAGATATTATTCCTCTATTTGTACCCTTTCATTTGTATTTTGAGAGACAATATTTATCTATATTGTTTAAAACAGTGCATTAGAGATTTTAATTCATTCATTAACCAAAGACATAGAACAAAAATGAAATTTCATTGTCAGTCTACATACTTGTAACACTCTGCTACATTATATGGCCAGAAGTATGTGAACATCTCATTCTAATTAATGGGTTTTGCTATTCCAGTAACTCCAGTAAAGACAAATTTCAATGCTACACCATAATGCCCGTCTAGAGAAGTGGTGGTGCCCAAAACAGGGTCCATATATAGTTTACTAAGTCTGGTGGGGAAGACTTTGACAGTCCTGCACAAAGCCCAGACGTGAACCCTACTAAAAACAACTTTTCCAGACCCCCTCACCCAACATCAGTGCCTTTGGCCATGTAGTGTATCTAACTTAGTTTAAGAAATGAATGTCTAACTTAAGATATGAATATAACGGAGCATTTTCTAACCATAGTGCAATGAATGCTGTAGCTGAGATTTAGTCAATGGTATTCATGAATTAAAGTGAAAAAAGAAAAATCTAAAATAAAGTATCTTAACTTGTGTTAAGAGAAAAGCACAGCGACGTCACAGCGATGATCCTCCAGAAAGGGAAATGTATTTTATTAGCAGCTATATTTGTAGTATTAGTAATTAAGTTTAATTTCTTCAATATAGACCAAACACAATTTCACATTCCTAAATCAACAAACTATGCTAATGCTGTATTTTGTGTACGCTTTGCTTACTTCAGTCTGCACAGTAGATGTAAAGCTAATGATCTCTAGCTTGAAGTGCCTGAGTGTTTACTAACTAAAAAATATGTGCATTTTAACTGGCTTGCAGTATGTGCAATATTACTGTTCACTGTTACCAGTAGAAATAAACACTCAGCTTGAAAAATCTTGGTTTATTTTGTGTGTATTCATAAAAGAAGGGAATGATGGTTGTCATGTATCACTGCCTGTTACATATTTTTCAGTATGCTAGACCAAGAGTTGCCAAATAGACTGAGAATAGAACACTGCTTAGAAATGATTTGTTCCTCTTCTATCTATATAAAAGCAAATGAAAGGAATAGTTCACCCAAAAATGACAATTTGCTAAAAAAAAAAAAAAAAAAAAAGACTCTACCTGAGACCATCCAAGATGTAGAGTTTATTTTTTTTTCATGGGAACAGATTTGGAGAAATGTAGCATTATATCTCTTGCTCACCAATGGATGCTCTGCAGTGAATGGGTGCCGTCAGAATGAGAGTCCTAACAGCTGATAAAAGCATCACAATAATCCACACCACTCCAGTCCATCAGTTAATGCCTTGTGAAGTGAAAGGCTGTGTGTTTTTAACTTTAAACTGTCACTTATGGCCAAAATATGAGTCCATAATCCATAATATCACTTTTTTGCAATGAAAAAGTCCATTCCCTATTGTCTCTCACATCAAAATCACCAAGTTTAGAACTGTTTTGGACTGATTTTACTTGATCTGTGCATATTTCTCTACTGATTCAGATGAGATTACTTTTTCACTGGAGAAAGTATTATGATGATAAATGATGAATTTTTTGCTTGTTTTTTTGCAAACGTGCAGCTTTTCGTTTCACAAGACATTAACTGATGGACTGGAGTGGTGTGGATTACTTGTGGATTATTGTGATGCTTTTATCAGCTGTTTGGACTCTCATTCTGACGGCACCCATTCACTGCATAGCATCCATTGCTGAGCAAGTGATGCAATGCTACATTTCTCCAAATCTGTTTCCAAGAGGAAACAAACTCATTTACATCTTGGATGGCCTGAACATTTTTCAGCATTTTTTTTTTTTTTGGGTGAACTACTCCTTGAACATCTCAGATCAAAAATAAATGGTGTTCTACCTTATAATGGTTTTCTCTGAGGAAAAAGATGGGTGTCTTCAGTGCATCAAACAAGAGGAAGAAAATCAAAGCACTGTGGTGAGGTCATCATTCATTTTAATAGACAAAGAGGCCACACCACTCATTAGACTCCATAAACTGCTGAATTTCCATGTTCCAGCTCATTTCACAGGGATTATCTCTGAATTTCACAGCCATTGGATATAATGTTGAGACACAGCTGCAGCATTAAATGCAGCTCTCTAATCGAAATGCAATCATTACAAAACGCACCATTACCTTACCCAAAAAGCTTCTTGTGGCAGATTTCAGGCAGTCTTTCTAGAAAGCCCTTTGCAGTAAATGAAAGTGATTTGCCTAAGGACAGGGAAAAGAGACTCCGGATCTACAGATCTCATCTTATAACCAGCCTCTCTTTCCTCAGTCTCCTCTGTCACTCCTCATTTCTCTCATTAATATCCCTGAGCAGGAGTTTTACTGAGTGATCACAGCAGTGAAGTGTTTCCAGTCCTCTGTGGGAGCAGGTTTGCTCATTATTTATCTCTTTAAAGATATTTATCATAAAAGCCATCAGACCTTGTTCTCTTTCATAAGCAAAGGCGGCCTGTGGGGAGCCAATTTCAGCATTCTTTTATCTGGGTTGGCTTAATGCAGGAAAAAGGTATAGTTATGTGTTTTTTTCTTTTCTTTTTTCCATTTCAAGCTGGGTTTCATCCTGCTGCATCCTGATATGGTGTGATTTCTGGCATTGCAGAAGACATGGAAAACAACAACAGCTTTACACGTTTAAAAAAATAAAAGCCTCTTATTCTAGTTGTATAATAAACCAGGCATTGTAGGCCTATTGAATATTGTTAGCTCTTTGACAAATTGCTTTGTTCCTCTTTGTTCCTTTGGATAAAAGCTTCTGCAAAATGCATGAATGTAAATGTAAAGGTTCCAAAAGGGGGGTTTCACAGTGATGCCATAATGATATATGGACATCAATTATGGAATTGCATGATTAATGGTATGTGTATGTAACGTCAAGGAACTCTTTATTAATTATCTGTTGTTAAAACGCTATTTATCTACTCTCTCTCTTTTATCTCTATTTATCGCTTTCTGTTTGAGATTCCACTGATAAACCTGTAAATGTTATTTTGCCATGATGTCAAATGGAAAAGCCTTGTGGAACCTTGTGGCAAGCAGCCAATAGTGCTCTCACTTACTCACATTATCTTCACAGTCCTAGCAGAGCTCTTCTGCGCCCATCCATTCCAATTACAGGCATTATTAAACTTAGAGCTGCATTGGAAAGAATAAGCTTGGCTCTCTTCGTGCACACACACACACACACACACACGTCTCAGGTGTGCTGTGTAGACTGTGGGCAGTAGACTGAGAAAACCAGCCGTCTGCTCTTACCCCATATATGCTGTATACAAGGCAGTTTGCTCTCACACACTTTTGCCATTGCATAAGACGACCATCCAAACCAAAACAGATTGCTGTGAAACCTCTTTACAGTTAATTTCTCTTTTTTTACAATAAGTAGCACAATATTCTTTGAAGTGCTTTTGAGTACTGTGTGAATGCAATGGTGCATGAATATGGTAATCTTGGTCAATCATGGTGCATATCAAAGTAACTTGGTATTACCATCTGACACGTTCGCAGTATCTCAGACAAACACACCTCATTCATAGTTTATTTTTAGAATCTAGTTTGATTAATATGTTTGGTTGATTTTGATGTATGGGTGAAAAGCAGTGCCTATCTAAAACTGGTTTGTGTTAGTGGTGTTAGTAAG